TTCTCTTTCCTTCTCTTTGCAGTTTCTCAGTTATTAATATTATTTTTAAGTACAAGTACTGTTTCACTTCTGAAAATCTCAGGAAAGATTTTCCTAATGTACATTTGATTCCAACTCTGAACTCCAATCCAATAGATTACATTTTATGTTTTCTTTGAAATAGCTACTAGTCCCCAATCTCTGCCACAACTGCCTCCTTACTCTATGTGTTTGTTGCACATGGTTTATTAATTAGTCTTCCCTATTCAATAGTTTATCCCTTTTTATCAATAGTTTATCAATATTATATTAATATTAGCTAGAGAAGCAGAAGAATGTATACATTATGAGGGAGAGTATTTTGTCATAAAAACATCTATTCTCAGCATTTATCATGTATGCAATAAGTAAAAGTTGAATAGAACTGATAATAATAGAGAAAATGCAAGTTTTTAAAAAAAGTCAAAAACTTCTGAAAAATGACTTCTGGTTCTTTAGTATTTGCATTTGAGGTTTTAAATGCCTGTTTTCTGTCTAAATGTTTTGGAGATAACAGAGTGCCCTATAAAGGACTCAACTATCTATTCCTAACCAAGCCAAAAACAATTTAAAGCAGTAGTATATAGGAATGTCCCTTTATTGTACTTTACTTCCCAGAGCAATTTTATTCTTATTGCTCTGTAGCCCCAATAGGTATCACATGGGGAATTTCTAGAGTGCCCACTGAGATGGTAGGTATCCCTTAATAATGATACAGGATTCTGCTGGTCCAGGAAGTTTAAAAGGTATGGCTTTAAAAATGAATTAGGTCCCACATACATGAAGCACAGTACATAAGTGTGTACACCTTGGAGCTGGAGATAATAACTTACAGTAGTAACAAGGCCTTACAGTAGTAACACACCTTTAGTAAATCTCTGTTTTCACCCTTTATAAAAAAAAAATCTGGAGATAGCTAACATGCAGGATAGTTGAACAGATTATTGACAGTATCTGTACCTATGATTCCCATGTAGTAAATGTTCACTAAATGCTCACCATTGTACAGTTCAGCACTTTAGCTCCTTTCTTTAGTTCAGTGATGTAGTACATCTTTAATTCTCTCCTCAGTACATTATGCCACCAGAGACCATCTCTATTCCTCTTTCTGACATGACCCCAAAGAAAACCACAGAGCTTTTTAAATTGAAATATCCACTTAGGTTTTTTTGTTGCACAATTATTCCTTAAAACATCCCAGATAGCCTCAGTGTCTTACAGAATAATCACAGTGATCATATTAATTGCCTGCATAATATGCCACTCATTACTTCTGCTCCTTTGAACAGGACATTCATTTTCTCCCATAAACACTGACTCCATCTTTGTATGACTAACAGCAAAAATGACTCATTTGGTAGAACTGACAATTTTGCTTACTCTTGCTCAACAGTCCTGGATCTATCTGGCTGTTTTTGAGGGCTAATGCTTTGTTTGGTTTTAAATCTTGGTTCTGCCACTTATTAGCTTAGTGAAACTAGGTACAATGTATACACATTACTTATTTATCCATTGAACACAATTATGGACAGCTACCAGAACCAACGGGAGAGCTGACATCCTTTGCATGCTTATCAAAGTGCTGCAAGTGAAAATAATAGTATATCCCTAGACATACTAGGACACTACACTGTGTTAAGAACCCTCTGAAGTTTATTACTGAGGAAGACTTCTTATGCATGGAATGGAGAATATGGCAGGTTCTCGGCTAACCCAAGTCTATTCTTCATGGAGTCGACAGCAAGGTTTTGCTCACCATTCTCTGATGCTTCTATATGGGATCCACAGCAAGTGTATCAACAAGAAGGGGGGTTGTCAACTGACTTTTCTATTTTGGGGTGGGGATAGTTAATAAGAATAGTTTATAGCATCCCTCATTTCTCAGGGAGTATATTGCTCTTCATTCCCAGGGAATATGTAAGAGAAAACACCTCACTAAACCACCACTTTCCCCAAAGATGCATGTCTCTTTTTTGTTGCTGTTTTATATGCAATCAAATACTGTATTATAATATGTTCATCAATTATGAGCTGTATATATCACATATAATATATGTTATATTATAAATAGAGACAGGATTCATAGGTGGCTGTAAATAAACTTGTATAAATTCATCCTATAGTATTCTCATGGTTTCAGTCATGTGAAGATGCAATTGTCAGAATATATCCCCATTAGGTAAAGCAAGACCAAGACTGCCCTTGACTCAGGACGGGGGACAGTGGTTTTGACAGTCTTCTGTAGCCTCTTCACAGGTCTGTAGATGCAGAAAGTTGGCTTGCTCAAACAGCCTATGGAGACTGAGTCATATTTTGCTTGTAACTGTAAAGAATAGGCTAGGGCAAGCATGCCCTTTTCACTATGGTCCTCAATTATAGATAATGACTGGACTCAGTCATTATGAGGAAGTCTTCCTCAGTAATAAACTTCAGAGGGTTCTTAACACAGAGAATTTTAAGGTATTAGGGAGTATATTTGTCTATTATCCTGCAAAGACATCAATAGCCATATATTACTATAACAAAAGATTCTAAATATTCTGAAATCTGTAGACAAGTCACATAAAATGATGAATTGTCATTATCATCCTTCAAGTGCAATATTGTATTGAAAAGAAATGCATTAAACATCAACATTTAATTAACTAATGATCCACTTAATGCCAAGAGATGAACTTACAAATTTTATTTCATTTGTGCTTAATTTATTATTGAGACAATTTCTTTCATTCTTCTAGACCATGATTTTATTGAAAGTTATAAAGAATCCAATACTCATAGATCAGTTCAGATTGTATAATATTAATTTATTAGGTATGTAACAAAGCAATCAATTTATACATTTCTAAACAGGGTCTTCTATGGGTTCTTTTAGTTCCTCTCAAAATGTGTTGCATTTTATCATTTGTTTCAGAAATATGGGTCATGTGTATCATATGCTAGCCTTAAACTTTCAGTGAGGTGTGGGATGCCCTTGAACTTTGACCTTCCTTCCTCTAATTCCCTAATGCCAGAGTTACATGTATTTATCTCTATGCTAGGTTTCATACATTGTTGAAAATGTAATTCAGTGTTTTGTGCATGCTAGGCAAGCATTCTACCAATTGAGCTACATTCCCAGTGTTTTCTTTCTTTTGGTTTAGAATGGTCCATGGAGAGGTATAGATAGAAGTATGTGCTGCTGACATTTATTCAGCAATTTTATTCAGATATTGAATATTTCATTTTTTATGTATGTATGCATTAATGTACATATGTTCATATGTATCTATATATACGTATATTGATTGTTCTGTATCTGAGAAATTCTGTTTTTTGTTCAGTACAAGGTTTTCCTTTCTTTGTAATATTTCCTATAATTTCTCATAGTCTTTGACAGTACTTTTTTGTTTTGTTTTGATTTTGGTTTTTCGAGACAGGGTTTCTCTGTGTAGCAGCCTTAGCTGTCCTAGAAGTAGCTCTGTAGTCCAGGCTGACATCAGACTCACAGAGATCTGCCTACCTCTTCTCACCAAATGCTGGGATCAAAGGTGTGGCTGACAGTACATTTCATATGCACAAACTGTACCAGTGTGTTCATGCAGGAAGCTAAAATACTAGATGGAAGAGGATATATTTTTATCATTTTCTCTTGAAAATTCTAGCACATTGATATCAATATTGTTAAGAAGGATGAGAGTTTAGATTTGTCACAACCATAGAAAACAAAAAACAAGTAGCTGCCAAAGGAAGAGATCGACATAGATATTGTAAGATATATATTCTCACATTGTCCAAAGGAAGAAAATTGCCTCTCTACAGGGAGTTCTGATGCTTGACTTGTAGTCAGAATGCTAAATAAATGCTTAAATATTTCCTAAAGTCATTGCCATTTTTATGTCCTTGACTTCTTTTCTCCTGTTGGATCCACAGAAATATTTACAATATAATTATAGGCCACTCATAGACTATGTTGTCCCAATTCTGAGAGGAATGCATGGAGGAGGGATTTCACTTCATGTGAAGTCACAGTCACACATATAGTCATCTGAATGTGTGTGGGTGTACTGCACCACATGTAGACACTCACACATATAATCTTCTGTATATGTGAAGGGTAACCTTCACCACATGTAAACATTAACATATATAATCTTTTGAATGTAAGAATCGTGACCTTCATTACATGTAGACAATTACACATAGTTACTTGAATTCATACAATTCCATAATTTGAATATCTTGAAGATGGCTTGGCCTTGCATGGACCTCTAAAGATCAGGTCCATCACAGAAATAGCTGTGATTGTGATTGTTTAGTTTATTATAACTTGTAGATCTCAGATAGTTTTTTTGTTGTTTCTTTTTATTAAAACTAGCAAAAAGAGATCTCTCATTTTTAATCAGTTACCTGTGGGTACCTTTTCAGTACAGGGATGTCTACCGTCGGCAGAGCCAATGGAAATAAAAAAATTAGAATCCAGGAAATGCCCTAATATTTGACTTTTCCATCAGAGCTGTATAGGAATCCTTCTGTGAACCATAGAAATAATAAACGCTGTGCCCATTGGAACATAATCTCAATCAGCAAGATGCCACTGCTTTCCAGATTTCCTCACAGGCTCTGCTAATTCCATGCCAAAACTAGCCATGAATTTCTTCCTTTTAATCTCCCCTAATGCCTTAGTCAATTATTGTCATTGTTCTGACTCTCCATTTCTCAACTGAACCAGTCAGAGGAGACTGGATATCTGCAAGACTCAATTTAAGACCACAAACTACCCCATTCCATCTGAAAAGACAAAAATAAGATAAAAAGAATAAAGGAAACCTGCAACAATTTTCTGGCAACTCCTTCATCTATTGGATTGCTGACTGGACACAGTCTGGGATGAGGGATATGAGGGGTTTGGAAGATTTCTCCCGTTGATTGTCACAGGAGATCTGGCTTGAGAGGAGGAAGAAGCTGGAGGAGGGTGACCTGGCATCTCAGTGACCCATAGGATGGTGGTGCTTCTCTCTTGGCTGTCCATTATTCTGTGGTAAGAAGATTTTTCTGATCCCCCCTTTTATCTTAGAGGAAAGGGAGAACTTATATCTACTGGGTGAATTTTTATTGCACAATGAAAGAAAATAAGAGCGGTGTGGCTGGTATCTACGATGGGGTAAACTAGCACCCATGAAACAATGTATTTTCTCTGAGGCCAGGGGTGAGAATTTTTGACTCTCAACCTTCAGGCTAGAAAATGCTCAAGCTCAACTTGAAGATGAAGGCAATTTCTACTCTGAAAATGTCAGTCGGATTCTTGACAACTTGCTGGAAGGCTATGACAATCGTCTACGACCAGGATTTGGAGGTAAGATACTGTGTTGAGGTTAATTAAAATACTTAAAATTTCACTCCTCTTTTGTAACCCAGAGGAGTCAGAAAGAAGGCAGTGGTAGATGTAGGGGTACCAAGACTTCATGTGTGTATTGCTATCCCTTTCTGATTCCTGTCTCAGTCAGTAACCTTATATAAGTTTTTTTTTAACTCTATAAGCCTTATTGTACTAAGTGTGTGTGTGTGTGTGTGTGTGTGTGTGTGTGTGTGTGTGTGCACCATTGACTCACAGGGTTTCTTGAGTGTAGAAATAATTTTTCCATATGCGATACTTTCCTTGGTATTTGTGCTTTGCAATCTATCAATACACATACTATTATCATCACTAGTAGCAGTATTTATTATTAGGGCACACTGATTTTGTTATCTTCCATCCATTAAGTATTTCCCAGTGTGAATGGAATGACTTTAAAGTAATTGGTGTAAGTTCTCAGAGTTTTAAAACTAAAGGGCATCCACTAAGGTGGGGTGGAAACAGGCAGAACTCTAACTTTCAGGCCTGGGAAGGGTCATGTGGAGTCACTAAGTTCTGGTCACAGCACACATGTTAATAGCCTCAACCTTCTTGGCTTATGTCAGGTGCTGTCACAGAAGTCAAAACAGACATCTATGTGACCAGCTTTGGACCTGTGTCAGATGTGGAGATGGTGAGTACATTGGGTACTTTTATTTAGGGAGGAGAGCTGTACTAATGAGTACAGGTATTGCCATTCATCTCAGCACACAATATGTATATTTCCATTGAGAAGACTTATAAACTAGAGCAGACGATTGGCTCTGCTTGGCCACTCAAAGATGAGCTAGATTTTAGTATTATAGTCTGTCCTCCATCCACATATTATACAATGACTAGTTCCACAAAGAGAAGGATTTCTCCTTTTTGTGAGATCCTAGTAAAATTAAGAAATTCTTTTTAAAAGCTTCTTGCCATGTAAGACTTCACTAATAAGTATGCTGTCAAGGCATACCTGTTATTTGCTCTGGGCCATCAACAGTGCATTTTATCCAAGCAGTGAAGAAGTCACTTGGATAGGTTCATGCTTTCCACCTTGTACATTGTGGATGCATCAGTGGGTGTTCTGGAGACTCTGTTCCAGGTACAGATGGCTGTAGGATTCGTAAGAGGGTATTTATGGAAAGTGGCAATGAAAGCCTGAAGTCATCTTTCTGAACAAAGTGTATCATATGCTTTCCTGGTTTTCAGGTAGTATTTTTTCTCACAAGGCTAAAATACAAGCACCAAGGCAAAAACTGTCATAAACGTATTCAAAGAAGGGCACCATTAGCTTTACTTGGGAAACTGTAATTCTGTATGAATAGTTGCTGGTGACTTCTCCTCCTACTTTAGAATTGATTTGAGAAGAAGGAAAGAGTAAAGAAAAGATGGATAAAAAGTCAAGGAAAGGGGAGCTAGAAGGACAAGATAAAAGGAAGGATGGAGAAAAAGAGGAAGGGAGAGATGGGGAAGAAAAACTTTAGGAAGATAAAGCTGAGGGGTAGGGAGTGGGGAAGAGGCTTATGGAGACATAAAAATTATATTGAAAAATCAGTCAGTACAGGATACTTGTTATTTTAGTATCATATTTTTTTTCCTTTAAGTTCTTTATTTCAAGAAACCAAGTATAACCACTTGGGACTGCAGTGTTCTAGTCTGGGTTTATTTTCATTTTGTTCATGTGTCTCTTCTCAAAGTACTTTTGTGTAATAGAACCCTTATGTTGCATGGTTTATGATTGTATAGAAATACTCTGTATTGAAATTTGCTTCTAAAATTGAATTACTATTTATAGAAATAAATATGATAAAGTAGGCAAAAACTGTTGGCAATGGTTCAGCATATTAGCAAGGTATTTGTCATTGACTTCTGTGATAGCCTCATAATTATCTCTTAAAATTAATATTATCCCATCAAGCCATGGTTTAAAAATGAAACTTTTGTATTTAAATTAAATATTTTATTTTCTGTTAAAAATAATCGTGGTAACACCTGCTTGTATGTTTTCTGACAATAACATCAGAAATGCATGGTATACAGTGTTAATTTGCTAATCAATGAAGATGTGTATTGTTGGAATTATACTGTATGGAAGTATTGCTCTCTAAACCTACTGTGAAGGTGAGTGTGGCGCTAGGAAGTATAGCTAGACTAGCTGAAGGTAGGACATCAAGCAGGATGCTTGAACTATAAATATTTCCATGTGGTTTCCTTTCGAGTTAAAGGGATTACAGTAAAAAACTGGCTGAAAATTTGGCTGGCTGGATAGACATGGAGGAAAAATGTTGAGCAGATTAAGGATAGAGTAGGAGTTTGGCCCAGTACATTTTTGTTTTATAATATTACAATCCTTGTGAGATTGAAAGAAATAAGGAGTCACTGAAATCTGTTTATGATTAAAAATCATTTACTGATTATAATATCATTTATTCTAAAAATCATTATTGATTACCAAATTATTCATCTTCATTAAGAAGTTATTGCTGTGAACCTTGCTTTCTTGATTAAATTTAGAATTTGGTATAAATAAGGAATAAATTATTTCACAAGACATTTTCCACTCTGTGTGAATATTTGTTTTGTTCTCTCAGGAGTACACAATGGATGTTTTCTTCCGCCAGACTTGGACTGATGAGAGGCTAAAGTTTAGGGGTCCTGCTGAGATTTTGAGCTTAAATAACTTGATGGTCAGTAAGATCTGGACCCCTGACACTTTTTTCAGAAATGGGAAGAAGTCAATTGCTCACAACATGACCACCCCTAACAAGCTCTTCCGCTTAATGCAGAATGGAACAATCCTGTACACCATGAGGTGAGTTGCCCATTTATTTGTGTTGCTTGAGGATACATCCACCACAGTAACCAGAAGTATGTGTTTCAATGTCTGCAGGCTTACCATCAATGCTGATTGCCCCATGAGGCTGGTTAACTTCCCCATGGACGGACATGCTTGTCCACTCAAGTTTGGGAGCTGTAAGTTACACAAAGTTCCTTGAAGTCAAATAGAACATTAGAAATATACACTTACTTGGTTTTATCTGAAGACTGGGAAAAATGAAAGAAAATATTATTAGGAAGCTCCCAGTATGAGTTCAGCAATATCCTTTCTGTCAATATAAGAAGTTTCAGTTAATGACATATTTTAAAAAGCAACAGAATGTATGTTTTATTCTTAATAAGTTAGGAAGGTAATGCTTGTGTTGAATGAAGGCAAGCTAACCATTTATATTTAGTGTTTTGTGTCATTTATTTAAAAAATACAGATGCTTACCCTAAAAGTGAAATCATATACACATGGAAAAAAGGACCGCTTTACTCAGTAGAAGTCCCAGAGGAATCTTCCAGCCTCCTCCAGTATGATTTGATTGGGCAAACAGTCTCTAGTGAGACAATTAAATCTAACACAGGTAAGACTATTTTTAAAAATCATGTAACATAACTCTAGTATATATTTTCAAAATATCTAGTATTTTATTCCATTAACATTAAATATTACAAACTAAATTTACTATTTTGAAGTGATGTCTTCAAAATTTATTTGCAACTTGGTAAATAGGAATACCCATGCAATCTTGCATTGAATTGTTTTATAAATATATAAGGTGCCATTAAAACCAATAAACTTGTGTGTTTCCTTGTATCTGATCAAGTAGTATTTTTATATATTTCTAAACCATGTCTTTGCTTGTTTTCTTCCAGACCATGTTAATTTAAAAATTTGCAAGTTTTATATTCAATGCATTCATTTTTCTGTCAACAGCAACCCAGCTAACGAGCATGTCTTCCAACAGGTGAATATGTAATAATGACAGTCTATTTCCACTTACAAAGGAAGATGGGCTACTTCATGATCCAGATATACACTCCATGCATCATGACAGTCATTCTTTCTCAGGTGTCTTTCTGGATTAATAAGGAGTCAGTCCCAGCAAGAACTGTCTTTGGTATGCCTCACACTTTGTGTTCTATTTCCATTCCATTTCTGCTTTGTAATCTTGTGCTTTTGTGGTGAATACTGACAACTGTGTGTTATCTTGATACACAGAAGAAACAGTCATATGCGACATAAAATGACTCATCTTTTTGCAGGTTGTGTTGAATCAACAAAAATTGTCCCTTCAATAATCCTGGCTCTTTCCTATAACTTAAGTGTATCAGTTATCAATGGTCATCATAAAGAAAAAAAACATGACTGGGAGGTAGTGGGCATGCCTTCAATCCCAGCACTCAGAAGGTAGAGGATCTCTGTGAGTTTGGGTCCATCTTGGTCTACAGAGTGAGTTCCAGGAAAGCTGGAGATGTTGCACAGAGAAATCCTGTCTCTCACACACACACACACACACACACACACACACACACACACACTGCTTTTCTGTCCTCTCGATGTGTGCATCCAGGAAAACAACTGGATAATAGAGTAAATCCACTCTACTCATCTGAATTATATCTCACTTTCATTGAGTTGCATAAAGTTGCCATCTTGAAGATCCCCAAATAGGTAAATACTGACAATTTCCTATAATTTAGTCAAATGTTTGCTTCCAGTTGT